GATTGTTGAGATTGTTATATGCAACATATTTCCTTGACCTGAGTTAATTAGACAAATAATTCTTTCTGTCATCCCATTCAAAAGTTCTTTATTTGCTGGATTGTATACCTGCTCTGCCAAACGTGTTTGTTTCACTCCTCAAATATCTAAAATATTTCCACTATATAGTCTCAGTAATTTGAAAGGTAAAAAATTGGTCAGCATCCAAATGAAAATCAAAATTTCTCAAAAATCAACTTTGTATTATTTGAAAATAACAATCAGTATTTAGACACCTACTTTTTAAATTTTTTTAGACGTCTCCATAGAGCTCCAGTAGTATCTGGCATTTGTGTGCACATGGTTAGAAGGCAACAAGATTTTTTATGTTCGGTTTTGGTCTTCAATTTATTATTTTTTTGTGACTACAGTCATTTGAGGAAATAAATATAAAAGCCCTGTGACATCTCCATCAGCTTGCAGATTACTGCTAAAATATACAAAACAGGTCTAAGTTTTTGTTAGCTTCTTTTGAAAGACATTATTCATCTAGGGATTCTTTTTTTGTTGTTGCTTTTGTTGTTGTTGTTGCTATTAATTTTATAGTCCTCCTTCCACTGAAACTGACATTAATTTTTTTGTCCATATTTAACTCACTGCAATTAGTTTAATGTGCTGTACTATCACTAGAATTTAAACTGTTCAATATTTTGTCCCTGAGTTTTGATTTGCATAAATTGTATCACCTTATCTTTCTTTTTAGCAAATGTACTTTTAATGCTAAATAGTATTAGTGAGAAAATGAGCCCTATGACATAATTTTTGATACAGTCAATAAGCGTGCACTTTTTAAATTGTGCCTGCTGCAGTTTGGTATAAATCCTAATTATTATTTTTCACAATATATGTTTTGGAGTATTTAGTGATGAAAACAGTGAAATACCTGTTAGTCTCATTATATATTTCTAATGCAAATGAATTTTTATGCAGAAAACTACACAGGGTAGTTTTACTAGGGTTTTGCAAAGTTCCCTACAAATGTTCTTTTGACTTGATTCTACCATTAACTTAGGCTCCTGGCAGTTGCAGAGTTTTAGGGGGAGATTTTTTGTATTGGAGTAATTTCACAGGCCAATTTAACAATTTCCTCCTAGATGCATATGAGACATTTGAAATAACTTTAGATGAGTTGTACATAGATAACTCAGGTAACAGGTAACATATACTGCACTTTGACACCAGCTTCTCCTTTTCACGTTTAGCTGGTGGACAATATTCCTTTCACCAAACTAATGAAAAGCTTTGTATTGACTTATTCATGATCCTGTTGTTCTTGTGAACATAAACTTTTAGTTATGGAAATATGAAAACATCTACATTATTCTTATACACACATATATATGAATATCTTATATTAACAGCAGTATCTGCTAAAGACTTATGACTGCTTAGATTTCAAATTCATATAACAGAAAACATGAGCTACACAACTGGAAAATACATCAAGTCTAGACTGTATTTTTGGTGTTCAGTTGCACAGAATCACAGAACTCTTAACAGTACCCCAGAGCTCAGCTTCCCCTTTATGGTTGTTGTCAGGATTCTGAGAGAGTAAGAACATGTAGTTTTAAGCAAGATAATGTTATTGCCTGCTTTATGATGCTGATTTATTTGGCATTATAACCTAGGCTAGATGCTTTGATCTTTTTTTGCCATTTGGCTTGTCATCAGTAGCACCACAGGTGTTTTCAGGTGTGAAAGCTGACATCAAATGTTTTAGATTTCACAGTCTGAAGACTTTTTCTGATTCTATTAAAGCAGGAAAAGAATATTAAAATGTATAAGTATGAGTGGTTTTACCGTGGTAAACAAACACATAATTGAAATAATAGGACTTTGATGTCAAACATAGTCCCACAGCAATAATAATCTGAAGACATAATTATGACTAATTTAGCGATCACACAAATTTCACAAAGCTTTCAAAGCATTTTGGTTAATAAGTGTCCTCCTTCAGGAGGGAAAAATAGCACAAAAAACCCCAGCCAACATTTTTTTAAAGCATGAGCAGAGAAGGGCAAGATGATAAGAGGGAAAATAAATTGTTATGTCCTCACAAAGCTTTCCCTTTAACTCTTTTGTAAATACAAATAAAAAAGCCTAGCTTGTACTGTGTGCACTGAACACTACACTGCCTGTTGTTAAATGAAGCAGTGGAGGTCAGGGAGCTTATGAGGCATAAAAGGAGTAAGATTAGAAAGAGCATAGTAAAGAGAAAATCAAAAACATGGTTCTGATATGGTGTAGAATATTTTTGAAAGTCAAACCTCTTTCAGAGTACAAACTGATTCAATAAATTTCAAACAAGATTTAGTACCTTTGATCCAAAAAGGCATGATAGTTTTCAGTGAATACAATTCTACAGGAGAAATGTTTTGCTGAATTGGAATGCCAGTAGGGAACAAATGAAGCAGGACAGAGTATGCTTTGTCCAGAAATTCAGTGGCTTAATTAGAATGAGAGAACTGATTCAACCATTTAAGAAAATACAAAAATAAATGCTCTTTTCAATTTCCTTTGATTTGGGCATTTAAAGAAGAAGCAATGGTGAAACATTGCCCTAGATGTTTCGTGTATTGTCAGGCCTTCTATGAGGGAGATTAAATAAACATTCCCATGTCTGTGGGAGAGCTGAGGAACAGATGATTTTCAAAAAGCAAGTACCACTTTGGGTGATAAATGATTCCATCTACTAGTCTATCCTGACTTTACATATCTGCTGAACAATACTGCACAGGTTTAATGGGAGTAAAGATCCAGATATCTTTAAGTGAATGAAGCTCCTGGTACTTCATGAATGTCTGTTGAGTTTCTTGTATAATGTATCCAAAAAGGAATTTGAAACAGGGTGTCTACATAAATATGCACACATGTTTTTATATAGACATTAAATATATACATAGATAATATATATTACAAGTTCTGTAAAACATCTACAATACGCAATTCTCTTTTTTTTCTTTTTTCAAAAAGATATATGTGTTCCTAATACAGTATTGCAATACAGTAAATCAGAGAGGAAACAGTCTAAGATGGTTCTGGGGTGTGTGGGAAATAAGTTCCTAACACAGGTGATGAGTGAGACAGCTAAAGAAGGCACCCTGTTGTACCTGGTGTTTGTGAACAGGAAGGAGTGGTGGGTCATACTTGGAGGCCATCCTGACCATAACAAACATATATAGAGTTTTTGATTCTCACAGAACTAAGGTGGGGATCAGCAAAACTGCTACAATGGACTTCCAGATGGCAGTCTTTGGGCTGTTTAGGAGTTTAGTTGAGAGACTGTCTTGAGAGGCAGCCCTGAAGGGCAAACAACTCCAGGAAGGCTGGACATTCTCCAAGAAGAAAATCTTAAAGGTGTAGGAGGAGACCATCTGTGTCAAAAGACAAGCTGGTGGGAATGACTGGTGTGGTTGAATGGAGACCTTTTACTGGAACTCAGGAAAAAAAGATAGTTTTCTGCATAAAAAACTGACTGGATAGACAAGCCAAAAGAGTTGTGGTGAATGAAGGAAATCCAGTTGGCAGCTGGTCATAAGTGGTATTCATTGGGGCTCGGCATTGGGGCTGTTCTATTTAATCTTTACCAATGATCTGGTCCAAGGCGATTGGGTGCACCTTCAGTCGATTTGCAGAGTGCACCAAACTGGGCAGGAGTGTTGCTCCGTTAGAGGGTAGGAGGGCTCTGCAGGGAATTATGGACAGACTGGATTAATGGGCCTCAGTCAAGTATCTGTGTACTCTTTTAGGACCCTTACTAAAAGAAATATGCTGAGGTGCCTGATCATGTCCAGAGAAGGGCAACAAACCTCTAGGGAACAATTCCAATGAGGAGCGGCTGAAGGAGCTTGTGTAGTTCAGCCTGGAGAAAAGGCAGCTCAGGCTCTACTCAGTGAACAGTGCACCTCTCCAAACCGTGGATGTCTCCAAGGAATCACTGTGGGTGACAAAGTCAAAAGGTTCGACAAGGTCCAGATAGACAACATCCATGGTCTTTCCTGCATGCTTAAAGTAAATGTGAAGTTAACATAAGAAAACACCGTCAGATTCTTGGTTCATACTCTAAGGCAGGAAAACCTGAACTGCAACAGAAATAAAATGTTAATTAAGATCAAGAGGTAAGCAGTCAACATGTGCATTGAAAGACATATCTGAACAAGTTTCAACAAAATAAGAATAATAAATGAGAATGCTGTCTCTATTCTGCAGATAGCTACATTAAACAGTACTAAATAGTAATGAACCAGTGAAAATCCCAGACCTCTTAATGATGCTTTGTGACCCGATGTAGAAGAATCTTTTTTTGGTGAGGGAGCAGAGCTCTTGAGAAGACGTCTTGTATCTTTTGTATATATGAGGGAGGCTTTATACAGTTTTCAACAAATCTTAACTTCAGAAAACACTGGCAGTGCACTGGAGTTGAAATTAATGAACACAGCATCTCCTCTGTATTCTCCCCTAAGCTGACATTTCAATTTTCTCGATCTTTATAGCTAGTGGTCTCACTTGTAGTATGAACTAGAGAGTCACGGTTTTCTAAATGCTCTTATCTTCAATTTTCCTTCTTTCTTTCTTTCTTTCTTTCTTTCTTTCTTTCTTTCTTTCTTTCTTTCTTTCTTTCTTTCTTTCTTTCTTTCTTTCTTTCTTTCTTTCTTTCTTTCTTTCTTTCTTTCTTTCTTTCTTTCTTTCTTTCTTTCTTTCTTTCTTTCTTTCTTTCTTTCTTTCTTTCTTTCTTTCTTTCTTTCTCTCTCTCTCCATCCCTCCTTCCTTCCTTCCTTCCCTCCCTCCTTCCCTCCCTCCTTCCTTCTTGCTTTTTTCACTGTTCTGCTCTTCTTTCCAACTACAAAAAAAAAAAAAACCAAACCAAAAACAAACAAACAAACAAACAAACAAACAAACCACATTAAAAGACCTGCAACTATCCTCCTAGTTTCTTTATTTTATCTTTTTTTTTTCTTTTTATTAATCTCAGTCTTGAAAACAGACTATAAATGCAGTCACTACCTGTATTTTCAAACAGAGTAGACACTCTTTAGTTCATACTTTATATAAATCATCCTGGCCATGGCTAATACATATTATGCTGGCTTGAACCAGGTTAAAATTGAATTAAGAGCACTGTTGTGTTTTGAAACTGTTGAACTCAGCTGGTTTGAAGCCACACCTCTTCTTTCACCTGCAGAGAAGTCAAATGGAGACAAGACTTAATTTTGTGTCTTAGGCACGGGCCAGGCACATAATTTGAAATTCCAACTGTCAAAAATCTGACAAGTGGGAAAAACAGTAGTGACAAATAAGAGGAACTAGGAACAAAATTCTGAAATTGCATTATTAGGAAGCAGGGTTTATTGTGTCAGTAGGGCACCTATGTTGACATTTATTAACAAGAAGAAATATAGTGCAGAAATCACAATGGGCAACTAGATTTTGGAGTTATCTCTAAAGATTTTTTTCTTTAAGAAAGTAGATGGTCTGAACTATCTTTGAGAACTGGCATAAAAAACATCTTGGTTTATGAGAAGCAGAGTTGGTCAGGAACTGGGAGTTTGGTTTTGACCAAATTTTAATGAGAAGAGTTTGTTTTAAGTCTATAGTTCACAAAAAAAAAAAAAAAAAAAAAAAAAAAAAGAAAAAAAATCAGTCAGGCTTACTAGCATTATGAGTACCATTGAAATAATTGCTCCATTTCCAGTAGAGACTTCACATTATAATTAACCAGTAGTGATTTGTATTGAAACTGAATCATCATATTACAGCTACTGTAATCTGGTCTCCTACAGCTAGTGAGACAGATGGTTCCTTTTTAACTTATAAATATAAATGAGAGTATTCATATCATTAGGAATAAACATTAGTAATATCTAGTATATTTATGATACCTTTTTCTGGAATATGTATTTTAAATCTATTTTTGGGTATAGGAAATAATGTATTTTGATGGCTACCTTATAGTTTAAAGGCCTTCTAAAGAAAAATAGATCCCTGGGATCCATCCTTCTAATTCAAGCTGTTCTCTTGCAAACTATTACTTTACAGAGGTGTTTGTATTTCTTGTACTTCTCATGGAGACCAAAAAGGAAGTAAACACTGTGAAAAAAATATATCTATCCATTAGATAGATTATGATGTTTGAAAAAAATAAAGTAGCACAAATCACTTTTTGTACTCAGACAAAATATTGCTTTTCCAAATAAACGAAGTGATATTGAATTGGATCATTATATACTACAAAATAAATGAGATGCACATTCATGTTTATTGCTGAGAGTTTTGAGGACTCATAGTACAACCTAGATACTTGCTTCTTGGCTGATGAGAACTGTTTTCTAAATGTTTATGCAATTCACTGCTATGCCAAACCCAAGTATTTGTACTGAGCGCATCTGAGGAGTTTATTTTCTTTGCAGCAGCCTATATTCTGCTGTGTTTTAGGCAAGTGAACAAAAGAATGCTGCTATGATGAATGCTTCTGTGTTTTAAGCAGGTGAGCAAAAGAATGCTGATAACATACCAATATCTTGGCTATTGCTGAATAGGGCTTGCATAGCATCAACACCTTCTCCCTTTCTCCTTGTCTCCTCAGGTATCAGGATGAGAGCAGGCAAGAGATTTTGAGAGCTAGAACTGGGACAGGTGATCTGAACTGACTAAAGAGGTACTCCATGCCACACAACATCATGTTCAACAGCAAAACAGGAAGAAGTTCTTTGAAAGTAGCTATTGCTTGGAGACTTTTGGGGCATCGGTTTGTTGGTAGTGATTTTTGCACCACTTGTGTTTTTCACAACTAAGCCAAAAGTTTTACCATGTCAGTTGCAGCTGGAGTCAAGACAACTCTAATAAACTAGTCCAAGTTACCTCTGCAAAGATCATACAACCTATACGTTAAATGTTTCCTTCCCTCTTTCAACAATCAAACACTAGCTGATACAAGAATTTAAGCCATTAATAAAGGACAAATTCAGCCCATATTGACTCATTAGCAAAAAAAAAAAAAAAAAAAATTAGTTTAGGACCTTCAAATTGGGGTCAAAGGTGTAAAGCAACTTCACGTCCTAAAAGATAATTATACACATTGAGCCAAGGTAGGATTTATAATTGAATTGTCTGTCCTGGTTAATTAGATAATTAGTGTGTTCCAGTATCATTGTATACTGTGGTAATATATGTATAAAATAATGCAGAAGGAGATTTTGAAGTTTAACAATAGTAGTTCAAAAGTATATGTTGTTCAAATAATATATACAGTACTGAAATTGAGGTGAAGATGAAGGTTTGTGACTTTGGATGTTGGATAATGAGATAGCCTTCATAAGGTTATATTTCTGGCTTAGCAAATTCTCAATGGCATTGAACTTCATTAAAAGAGCTCTCGGGATACATCGACCAAGGACAGCACTCAGATGTAGAAGACAAAATTCTGGACTCTGAAATCTACAGAAGTCTTGGGCATGAGGAAACAGTAACAGATTTTTAGAAAACAGGAAATGGGAAACTCTCATCATTTTACTTGAACCAAAGTGGCAAGCTGTTTGGAAAACAAAAGCAGAAACTCTATACATAAAAGTTCTTAATTTTTGTTGTAGGCCTATGCTATTTTATTTATCTTGATGAACTGGACATCATACTGTGTTGCAAAGGGTTCATAGTTTCAAATAAAATTACTATTATGAATGAATTGATTAGAGACATATTGGGAAGTCGGTGAAAAGGCTAATCTTAACATACCTAATAAATAAGCAGGACATAAAGTGACCAGAAAAAACAGGCTGTCCTATTCCAATGATGGAGTTGTGACGCATGTTAAAAACAGTTTTATTTTAATTGCTTTAGTGAAGCAATGCTATCAATGACATCTACATAAAATAAATGGCACCTAAAGGAAGAATACTACAGTATTCATTTTAAGAGTGATATATTCCAGTTGGCACAGAAATGATTTAAAAACTCCATAGTAGAAGACCACGGAAAATGAGTGCTGCCTCTCAAAAATACTTAACAAAAATCAAAATAAATCATAATTTTGTAAAAATAGAGGAAGGGAGTTATTTAAAAATAAAAAGCCATTCTTCAAAAAGAAAAAATGTATTTCTAAGTCAAGAAAAAAGAATCATGGTATCTTTGGTATTAAATAATAAATATAATAAAAAATAATCAAATTGCTGATGGTACACAGTTTTCCAGAATGCATGAAATCTACACTTATCATTTCAGGACCAAGAAATGAAGTTCCTTCCTTTTCCCTTTCCCTTTCCCTTTCCCTTTCCCTTTCCCTTTCCCTTTCCCTTTCCCTTTCCCTTTCCCTTTCCCTTTTCCTTTCCCTTTCCCTTTCCCCTTTCTTTTTTTAAGGTAGTATTCAAATATTGTACAAAACTGAACTATTTACAAAGAGATGATGAAACAAGTTGATTGACTGCAAGAGGTTGCCCATATATGCTATAGTCATCCAAGCACTTTAAAGGGAATCTATATTAAGTTCTAGTTTTGCTATGAAATTTCATTGTAAAAACCCAAACAACAAAGCTACAACATCGGTTCTAAGGACTGAAGTATGACAAATATCATACAACTTTAAAGAAAGGATTGCATGGATTAGCAGAACAGTATTGCTCAGTGAACCTCACAAATGTACATGGCAAATTAATTAAAAGCTAAAATACTGAATGCTGATAGTGGACATGTAGTAGCAGGATAAATGGCACAAGGCTTAACAGCATGTTTAGTAAAAGGAGTCATGCCTTACATATTTTTGGGTTTCTTTAAAAACAGCAGTAAACATGGATAAACTGAATCTTGTTGGCAGAGTATCTGCAAGGTCTGTCTATGAAAATTTCAGGAAATTATGTAGGAATATTTGACATGATACAATATAATATTACTATATGGGGACAAAAATATAATTACTTGAGTAGATCAATAATTGGCTAGAAGCTTTGACTCAGAGGTGAGGAGTGAAAATATATTTTTCAAAATGAAAGAAGGTCTTTGCTTGGACACACAATTTTCCACAGATTTAGAAGTAATCTTAAAATTGGTGTGAATAATGAGGTGATAAAATTTGTTGGAAGTTCAATACAGTAAGAAGGAAATCCCACTGTGAAGGATTACAGAAGTTACTGCATAATCATATGGTGTATAAAATCCAGATCAGATTTACTGTGAAATGATACAGTTGGGAAAACTTCACATAAAGCAAATGGGCACTGACCTGACCTTCGTCCTCAGGAGGGACATCTTTATGTTGTAACAGATTGTTCCACAAAAATGCCACCTCTGTGCTCAGTAGTGGGCAAAGTATAAATGAAGTGCTAAGTACTAATCATGAAAGGGAAAAAAACCAAACCAGAGTACATTTTTATCCCACTGTTCAAATAAATAAATATTTGTAAATACCTAAAGAATCACAAGTATCACAATGTCCTGGCTTTGGCTTGGGTAGAGGTGATTTTCTTTACAGTAGATAATAAGAGGCTGTGTCTTGGGTTTATGCTGGAAACCGTATTTATAGCACTGGGGTGTTTAAGTTACTGCTGAGCAGTGCTTGCAGTGTCAAAGCCTTTTGTTCTCCTCACAGCAATTCCAGTGAGCAGGCTGGGGTTGCCCAAGTTGGTAGGAGACACAGTCAGGACAGCTGACTCCAACTGACCAAAGGGATATTCCAGACTGTATGCATCATGCTCATCACAGAAAGATGAGGAAAGAAGAAGGAAGGGGGGATGTTTGAAGCAATGACATTTGTTCACCGTTATGTGTGATGGAGCCCTTTCGTGCTTTCCTGACTATATCTGAACATATGCCTGTCCATGTGATGTGGTGAATGAATTCCTAGTTTGCTTTTCTTGTGTGCACAGCTTTCAGTTTCCCTATTAAATTTCCTTTATCTCAACTCATGAGTTTTCTCACTTTTCCTATTCTCTCCCCCATTGCAATGTGAAGGGAGTGAGAGATCAGATGCTAGCTGAGCTCCAATCATGATACATGAGCATCAGGAAAGGGTGAATTTGTGTGAATCTGATATCTCTTCCATATTGCAACATGGAAAATTCTAACTAAACTAGTAGGAGGCAGGCTAGAAACAAAAGGGCATTCCTCTATGAGCTAAGGTTGTGCAATTGTTTGCTATGGCATATTGTTGACTAAGACAACTTACAGAGGATGAAGAGGAGGCTAAATAGTTTCATGGAACAATCATCCTTTGAAGGTTACAAAATTTGCGCCTGGCCCTAATATGCAACTTATGGAAGGATAGGAGTAAATTCAGGAGATGCTTTCCCCACTTATCTGCTGTAGCTTTTACTGGAGGCAGATAACCCTGTTGATCCAGTACAGCTGTTCTTAAGGAGTTTTTTGTGGGTTTTTTCAGTCCTTCATCAACCATAGGGAACATTTTTTCCTGTACTTAGTTGTAAATAAGTCAGATGTGGCACAAGGCTTCATATTCTTTTCTAGGTAAATAAATGCATGTTTTTACATGTTCTTAGAAAGATAATACTTTTCAATACTAACTACAAAATATCCAGAAACTGTAGGAAATTTATTGTGCTTTATGTGCATATCTCTTCATAACTCTTGTGAGCAGAAGTATGTGAATTTACAAGGCTCTGAAGTGATCAGAAGCTATGCTTCCATAGTAATACCGTAATGAGATGAAATAGTGTGCCCAACCTTTCAGTAGCAAAGTCTCAAAAAATACTCAAATGGACCTTACATATTCCAGAAATATACCATCTAGACATATACTCTATGACCCAGAATTAATACAGTTGTGCTTATGCCACTGTCACCAATGGTAGGAAATGATCTTGCTCATAAATGCTAAAGTTGGTGAATTTCTGAGATCGTGAATTCATCAATCAATGTAGCAGTGAGTTAGAAACTTAGCAAATTATACCAGTCTGTTAAAAGAAGATTGCCTCCTCATACTATTACACTCAACACACATTTTATGTAAAGAAGAACCTGGGAGTCTTAGTGGATGGCAAGTTGGCCAGCACTGTGCCCTTGTGCCTAGGAGGGCCAATGGTATCCTGGGGTGCATCAGGAAGCGTGTGGCCAGCAGGTCAAGGGAGGTGATTCTTCCCCTCTACTCAGCCCTTGTGACACCACATCCAGAGTATTGTGTTCAATTCCAGTCCCCAAAGTTCAAGAAAGAGAAGGAGTTATTGTAGAATGTGGATGATCCAAGGTCTGGAGCATCTCTCTTGTGAGGAGAGACTGAGGGAGCTGGGTCTGTTTAGTCTAGAAAAGAGCAGACTGAGAGGGCACCTCATCAATACATATAAATATCTCAAAGACATTTGTTAAGAGGAGGGTGTCAGATTCTTTTCAGTGGTGCCTAGAGACAGGACAAGGAGCAATGGCCATAAAGAAAAACATGAGAAGTTTCACCTCAACATCAGGAAGAACTTTTTCATTGCAAGTGATAGAGCACTGGAATGGTCTGTTCAGGGAGGTCATGGAATCTCCCTCTCTGGAGAGATTCAAACTCCAAGTTCCTGCTCCAGGTGACCCTGCCTTGGCAGAGGAGCTGAACTAACTGCTCTCCAGAGGTCCCTTCTAACCTTAACCATTCTGTGATTCTGTGATTGTATATCTTTTTTTACTTTATATTGATAAACACAAAAAAAAAAAAGGTAAAAATCTGAATCAGAAATTAAAGTTGAAATAAGTGTAACTGAAAGGGAAAAAAACCCCATAATTTCTGAAATAGTTCTGCAAAATGAAAAATTAGTGAAAGTCTGGGATGTAATTTTTTTCATTTATCATACCAGTGAAAGAAAATAAATCCAAAAATATTTTAAAAAATGGCTAGCACAGCTGTTGCCACCATCTTGTGGGAAGATATTAGTTTAAGAAAAGGTCACAAAAGTTACAGAAAAAAACTATATAGGGACAGATTTGTACTGTAAAAGATGAAGTAGAGGAGTTCATGTTAGTAAAGCTATATTCTATATGCTATAAGTGAACTTTTCAGAGAATCTGTGTGGGCAGAAGACAGGCTAACTGTCCTTACAAGGCTATTTTATCTTTAAATTCTTCCATGGTATGGTTAATGGTCATTGATCTGACTGTATACATGCTGTTCATATCAATGTTATAAACTACAACAATTGGATTATTGTCAACTGCTGAAATTCTGTTCAGTGGATAACTTTTCCCTGCATTTTTCCTGCTTGTATATTGCACATTTTTTCCTTTGTAGAGTTTTTTCCTTTTTTTTTTAACTTGTTGAGAAATGCCTAAGTGACTCTTTTTCTGCTAGGGCAATGTGTTTAAGATAATGTTTATTCAGAAAAATATATTAATATACCTTCGTTCTCTCCCTATGTCAGAGTATAATAACCATAAAGTACTTCACATGTGACCTATATTTTTGATGATGATGCTTTATTTTAGAAGTGCTCTCATTATATACTATGTTAGAAGGATGGCTGGAAGGCTTGAAATAACAAAATTCTGACTAAATGCTGGTAGCACAAGCCACTGCACTAAACTTTCTCATTCAAAGGACACATGCATACAGTAAAAGATACATGATGGTCATAAGAGGACAAGATAAGAAACCTACTTTAGTCTTTGGAGTTACCATAAAAGGATTTGCAATGATATTCATAGTCCTCAGCGGATATAAAATATCAGATTATTTGTATCAATTAGCAATTTACCTGGACAGTTCTTGAAAATAGTAATTCTAAAGACACTTATACTGAGAAAAATGAACATTTCTTTTATCCTTAACAGTGGACTTCCTATGCAGTGTTTTCGAGCTGTGAAATAGAGGCAGCTGATGTCAATGCTTTTGTTTTCCTATTTCAGGCAATAGATTGTAGGTGCATTCTTCCATTTAGAAGCCCCTTTCTGTGTATAGCATTTCCATTTATATTAATATATTAAAGTATCATACTGGTATTTCTGAAGTGATAGTCCTGAGTTTGATCTGAGAATGATGTTTGCCAAGACATTATCGTAGCAATCACAGTGGATGAACTTAAAATAAGCACCTCTTGTGGACCTGTGAATTTCTTCTCTAGAAACACAACAGACATGGGACAGAATTAAGAATGACGACTCCTAAATATAGTGACTGTTAGAAGGAACATTTTTTTTTTAATTGTAGCTATTTTTGAATAATTTTCTAGAAAAGATGGGGTTTACAGATGTCAGGACACTCGACACTATCTTGTGTGTGGACTTCTGGTCTGGATTGCCCAGATGCAACACTATTCATGACGAGTATTTTTGGCAGCTTTATCATTGTACATTCTGATACTTTTCTAGCATCTGAAAAACAAAAAAAACAAACTGTGTGCACATCTTTTAGGAAGCTATGTGTTTCCTTTTATTGTGTAAATGCACCTGTTGTTTTGTAAACATACTTCCAAATAAATCTTAAGATAACTCAAGTGTCTAAAAATACCTATATCCAAGATCAGCCAGAAATATCTATACTTGGATTTATATAAGCATTTAGGCATATATCTATATATTCTATTTTTTTCAAGGAAGTCAACATGAGTACTTTTTAACTTGTTCTTTTTTACTACTGCTACTACTCCCAAACCATTATCTCACTAGAGATTTATATTCAGGAGAGTAACTGAGGCAGTTGGCTACTCTTCCTAAATGATGTCATGTACTCATTACAGCAATATTCAGTTTCCTGGCCTGTATGCTCTTGGTACACATTCTTTCTGTCTTAAGAAATTGTTTAAATCTTCCATGGAGGCACAAAACTGTCTTTGAGAAAACAGAGATCCTCTTCTATTACATGAGGAAATTTTACCAGTTATTCCTTTAATCTCCATTATTAATTTGGAAAAGTAACACCAGACTCATCAAATTGTATCCTAGCTTACACATATTTTTCCTCTTCTGTGCCTGGGTGTGAATAGTCTTCTTCTTTTTACTCAGTAGCTTTCTTTATTGTTTCACTCTTCCATTTGCAAAGAGAAGTCTTTATGAAAATTGACTGCTATCACGAATTTTATTGACTTGTTGTTCTCTGAAAAGTTTCCTGAGGTGACAAGGGTTTTCTTTCTCTGCTGGAATAAATTCACTCATTTCTGGTGATAAGGACTTGGTGAATTGCTTCTATGAAGTGTTCAAAACAGTATCGAAATAGGCCTATCAAAAAAATAGTATTAAAACAGTATCAAAATAGGTCTATCAAAATAAGATCATATTTTGATGCTACATTTCATGGAAGCTATAAAGTGTCAAAATGCCTATATCTTTACTTAAATACTGTTACATTTTCACCTTTTAGAAATTAGCAAATTATAAAGTTATTCCTGTCAGTGCCTGAAGTAAGTGAGAAGAAAGATTTGACAGCAGGTAAAGACAAAATGGCTAAAAGGAAGTGAAAAGAAACTATCAGGTGGAGGGAGTAATGCTATTTTAACTGAGAAGTGACAAAGAAGGAAAAGGTCCTGAACAATATCAAAATTTGATGGGAAATCTTAAAACCCTAACCCTGTTCTGGGAAGTGTCATGTACTGGTACAAATCAGAGCTAGGATGTGAAATTAGCATCTTGACCAGCAATAATAATTCAGGGAGACCTAGCATCTAAATCTCTAGAAGCAAAACTCTCTACTTTCTCCTTTCCCATCCAGCGACCTCAAAGTTACAGAGGGGGAAGACTAAGGTAGTATTAGCGATGGGAGAAAGAGGATTCTGTGTCAGGTGCTTACAGGTAAATCCTATTGACCTATCTGTCCTTTGTGCTATTGGGTAAGGCAGCCATACATTCCCTGAGGATTCCTTTATAACAGCTATTGCCTTAAGGCAAGATAAAGCCTTTTTCCTATTGAAATAGCACTAAAGGGAATTACAAGAACTCAAGAAAAAGGCCTGTTGATTTCAGTAATAACAGACAGTTTTGTCATATTTTTGGAATGGGATTTCAAGTACACTGAAATTCAGTCCTCATGGGAGGTAGAAACAATTTTTACAGGTTTTATAGGATTCTCCCACTTTTTATTGAAGTTTTCCTTTCTTATTTAGTGTTCAGTTTTGTTCTATAGTAGCTTCCTAAGAACAAATATAAGTGTTTGTGTCAGTTACCATAAAATGTCTTATTCTTCAGGGAACTAGGGGAGTGGCTTAATACAAGCAATGGTTGACTATCTTCTTTTAAATTTTTTCTATGTATTCTATCTATTAAAAAAGTAATTGGGGTTTACTTCTATTTTTTTGTTTAGAGTGTAAATGATGAGTAGAAAATTGACAATTACTTGTTTTTATAAATTTGTCTACTAGATTAAGTTAAAGAAAATAGCTATATAAGAACATAGAAATCAGAGGATTTTAGTTTTGTTCTTAGATGTATTACATTAAGTGTGCAATAATGGGACAGCAACTATGTCTGACTTTTATTTTGTGGCTGATAGTACTAAATACACACAGTGTGAACTTAAGGAAAATAGGCATTGAATTTGAAAATTCCTGAGTGTCTCTCAGCAATAGTCAATGAAACTGATTCCATTTAAGTTCATGAGAAAAATGGCTCTTTTCAAGTCAAGCATTTCATGTGCTTGAAGGACTTGACAGCAAATGACTGTTCATAAGTTCTCTTACCTTTTTATGTTCTGAAGTGTCTTAAATAAAACTGGAATAATGTAACTCTACAGCAAAGATGGAATTATCTTTATTTAAAAAAAATCCGAAAGCATAAACTTCCGGAAAGTTTATGCTTTTTTCATAAGGCTTTCATATAAAATGAAACTCTGCCAAAAAAGTCTAATATCAATTTCAGAGACATTGCGTGGCAAGACTAAATCCTCAAGTGAAAAATGAAAGAAAGATTATGTGGTGGATGGTATTTTAATTGTATGAATGACAAAATATATTAGAAAAATCCAAATTGGTATTTATGACAGAGATGTAATACACTATTCTAACAAAAAAAAAAAATCCAGGAGTTCAGTGTTAAAATCAAGTCTGACTTGACTAAAATAATCATTTTCTCTTTCAGTATAAATAACTCTTTTAATGGTATAGCTTCAGGTTTTCAAAATGTTTTCTGGCCGAATCAGCTGGTACAGTTATCATAACTGGCCTTACCAAAACAGGAATAGTATTATTATTGTGACAGCTTATCATTTGAATAAATATTAGTGCAACATTATTATTGGTCTGCTATTAACAAGACGGGAAAAAGAAATGTGTGCTCATTAATCCACATCTCATCAATTTTCAGCAGTGTTGTCCTACCCACCCTTTATTTTCATGTAGGCCAATCAACTTCAGTTTTCATTGTTTGA